TAGAAATAACTAACTCAAAGACTTCGCATACGTAGTGCTACCTACGCCTGAATGCGTGGGAGTTGGCACCAGCACTTGGTCGTTAGGAGTGAGCTGCGCATGGAGAGATTTTTCTTTGATGGACCCCGCTCGCCGAGTGAAACCTCGCGCGAAGTCGTACGCAAGCTCCTGCACTCGGACCACCTGACAGAGGAGTGCAAGCTGTCAGGTGTGTTTCAAACGAAAGTGATGCGGGCTCGGCGAGCCCGCATCCGTATGAATACGGATACCGACCAAGCACATAGAACTGACGCCGCACGCGGCGAGGCTCGACGACTTGTGTCGGCGGCGGAGGGCCGGGAGACGACAGGACCTTGTGTGGACGCAGGGCGACCGCGCACGCGGGGCAAAAGCACGGGATGGCCCAGCGACGTCTTATCTTCTTGATGGCCGCCGAGGACTCGACAGGCCTATAATCGTTGAGGGGCACGAGCGCACGGGGAGCGGCGCCATCGGCGCGACCACCGACCGCTGCCAGCGACCAGCACTTACACAGCAATGATCATAGAGCACAGCTCATCGGAGCAAGCCATGGCCACGCGGGCGTCTCGGCAAGCCGCGTCGTTTAAGTACCAGGTGCCCTTGAAATGGCGTCACCCAAATTGAGCTAAAAACATAGCCCACGTTGCTAAGCGAAAAAAGACGTTGCGTTGTGACGTCGTGCGAAGTGCTGTGCGCCACCGCACCACAGATAAATCGTTTGTAGGCTCGATTTCAAAACGGCAAACACCTAATAGCATTGTCCGTCCATTCATTTTTTATATCTAGCTTTAGGTGTGAGCCCCCTTCTTCGGCCAACTTGCTACTCGAGCACTGTACTTTAGATTAAATGCTAGCGTGAGAGGGTGAGAGGTTACGTCCGTATCCAATAGCGTTTTCAGTGTCATGCAGAAGTGCATGACACTGTAGACGCTAATCTCATATTGCCTGAAGCAATATGATCTAGGTCCACCCTCCTCATACCGATCGCAGGCAAAGACGACGCGTCCTCGAAGCGGCTACATGACCGAGGCGATTTTGCGCAAGCATTGCACATGATTTTAGATCGCGGCGCACCAACTCGAGAGTAGCGTGTTTGCGCACGCAGTTCTATATAGTGCCGATGAGCCAAGCAAGTTGACTGTCCATGGCTCGCGGGCCTTCACGATTGGTGGGTCACCATGGTAACGACGAATCGCGTCTCGATATGCGCTTGCCGAGCCGCGGCAGTTACAAGCGAGGCGATTGAGGCTGGCACTGCGTGCATTGTTGGTTAGCTCAGTGCATTCGACTTCGAATGTACCCTACCAGTCGTTATTTGTGTCCACAGTTGCATTCTTTCTACTACCTTGTAGTGTCGAATATGACATGGCTTTCTTGTACAGCACTATCTATTCACTAGGGTGAGCCCTGTGGCCCTACGGCCACACTCTAACGTGGGAGCAATCTTCTATCGGCGGAGTAGTTGCCTGATAGTATGCTCGTACTTGGTACGACGTTGTAGTGTCGGGTAGAAGGTCTTTCTGTTTGTTCTGAGTTTTGCAAACTCCCTCGCGTCCAGCTCAAACCCAGGTGGCGAGGAGTCAATGGCGAGTGATCTTAAAAAGCTTAGTCGTACTGGTTGCTCCCTTTGATAAGTAGCGTATCAAGAATCGCTTACCGCAAATCATATTTGGGTCCATCGTGTTCAGAAATGTCCGATGTAGTCAATGCGATGAGCTTTTGATCAGTCTAAGGTCGCATACCTACTTGACAATATGTAAAGGCAAAGTCCAAAGGCATGCAAAAGGTGATGCTGTACGACGATTTTGTGCGTTGCAAACCCGCAGTGCGTTGCGTAGATATCGCTATCCGTGAATAAAGAAGGGTTCAGTTAAATACAGCCATGCAACAGTGGACACTGCGAGGAAGTAAAAGTAATGCGATGGTGTCTTCGCACGAAACAAACACAAACAACGACTGACAGGGTACATTCGAAGACTGCGAACCAAAAGCAGTGTCCACGACGCACACCACTCATCAGAGAAACCTAACTGCGGGCAGATACAAGTGATATACATGCAAGCTACAAAAAAAGATACAACGGCGATCAGTTGATTCTAATGTACGGGGCTTCCGGCGTACATCTAGTTCTGTGCAGGGGGGGCAAATTCCGAAATGAGCCGCCATGGCGCTAGAAGTATTGGTCCATTCCCGTTGTTTGCTGATGATAGTGGTCGTGTATAACCCACGAAATATAATCTTGATACACAGCTGCACTGGGAGGAGCGACGCCACATTTTGTTTAATGTTACGTGGTAGACCACGCTCTTGCCAGCTCGCATAGTGTATACATGCTTTTGCATAATATAGGTATGGCGGGTTGGATACTACTTTACCAGTAGCGCATTGCATTTGTCACAACTGGGATAAGTGAACAGGATGTATATTATTCAGAGCCGTCTATAAAGCCGGACATGATGAGTAAAGCCCATCCCAACTCGCGACATACAGCATCGAAGACACCGTGCTGCAGCGGGTAAGCCGAAGCGGGGCCGTTACAGAATGAGTTCTCGATCTTGATCAGGAAGTAGTTGTCTATATTTGGATATTCTGGATTTTTACAGATTAAGGGTCCTTTTTTTAGAGTCCTTTCTACTCCAACCTAATTACCGGTATACTTGTACACGATTCTCCAGCTTAAGCGGCCCTACCCGTCTCGAGTAGAATGTTGCGCATTGTATTCAATTCGTCATTTTCCAGGACCTCGGGATACGTATTAAGCTGGCGCGAATTAGAAAGCGCCCCGAGCAAGAGGTCCTAGCCAGGTGAGCACAAGAGCTCGTTAAGCACAGCGCACGAGTCACTAGTAAGAAAGATTCGCCATAAGACGGCAGTATCATCGCATAGTCCTTGCAGAGCGCTTGTACTTTCTCGTCGCAGAGCTCACATAGGCTTGAAAGGCTGACGAGAATCAACAGCCTGACAGAGACGTCGCGAAGCAGACGTGTCATAAGGCTTGAAGATGCGCACTGCGAACGCGTTATCGCTGCGCTCGTATTTGAAGCTTCGTGAGCTGCGGCTTCATGGAGCTCGTACCATATAGAGCCGGTTTCTGATATGCGTATGGGTGGGCAAAGCCATATATGATCATTGCGATGCCGCAAAACTAAAAATGTGAAAACCCAGTATACCGCAAAAGCGGTCACGTATCTGAGAGCCTCCGGTTACCGAGCAGGCCAAAATACCACAACTCAAATCCTCCTCACGCGTCACAAAGATGCGCCGGCAGGTGCGCTACGAGCTCTACGGCCAATATGGCGTCGCCCCCGGTCAGTCAGAACGAGGAGTGTGTACCTAGATCTTTCTGCTTCAAGGAATAGGAGACACGGCAACTCCTGCCTGTCACAACAATATCAAAACAAGCACTCTTAGGCAACTACTCCATACCGAAACGAGTGTGGATGTAGGGTCATATGGTTCACCCCGCGGCAAGTCAAGCTGCTACGTCGATTTCATCGACCGCGTTTTCACCGACTGTACGATGCTCACGAATTGAGCTTGATGGTCGCGGGGACCCCCAATACAAACCGCGTGGCGTTACGTGCCGAGATTAGTCTTCTCTTGTGGAATGAGTCAACTTAGAGGACATCAACTTCAACAGTTAACAACCTCTCGTCAAAGCCAGCAACAACACAACCTCGGAGACCGACCGTATCATCGATATTCCATTACGCACCCTGGCGAGCCTCTCAGCTAAAGTCAATGCGATCCTTGCGGCACGCGCGCATAAATCTGGACGATATGCCACGATTGACAGCGTCGTACAGCAGCATCAAGAACAAGCTCCTCGCCCAGCGCTCCTTGCCCAGTATAGCGGTGGCGTCGCGTTCCAAGCCGCCAGGCGCACGTGCTCTTACTGCCAACCTGTGGATCACATTTTGCACGAATACCGCAGCAAGCAACACAACCTTGTTACGACAAATTCATGGCGCCGGCAAAAGCTAACAGATGCTATCGCTGCATTTTGTGGCGCACCGTTTTACGTACAAGCCTCGGCCGCTTCCACGCATTCAGTGCCTGCCTTTATCGTGCCATCCACGCCTGCCCTGTAGCCGCCGCACGTCACGTCGTCAAGAACCAATTCCTGTTTGCGCACTACCAATCGGCGCCATCGGCACGGCTCGGCATCACGCACACGCACCTCGCATTGAAATGAATAGTCACAGGCTTTTCCAGCCCATGTACAAGACGCTACTGGTCTCCCTGCCGCTAGGTCACCGCTAGCGCGACGGCATCGATTACATCAAGACGTCCGCACCGCAGTCAAAAGCAAATGGATGTGCCTGGTTCTGGTCCTCTATAGCTCGAAGTGCAACCTAACCACCACGTCGATACCACGAACGCGCACAAGCACGCCAACATCACCACTGCACAGCACATATGCATCAACGACGACGCACGCATTAAGGCGCATGCGAACGTAGCAAGCTTTGAACCGCGGTCATCGAGTCGGTCGGGTTAAAGGCGATGCTGTCTTGTTGGCGCACAGCAGTGAGCTGTCAACGTATATCATGATGGTTTGGATGCCCGCCTAGAGCAAACGCGCACAAACGCACGAGTCGGACTGAGGACGTGAAGGCGATCGTCGACGAACTCCACGTGCACGTCAGCAGCAGTCGTTGGGGTGATGGTCAGCCCCATTTTCTCGTTCCCGCTAAGCTCATCCTCCGTATGGAAGTCCAGCGTGACACTGATCAAGGCACCACGTTGAGCACGCAGCGCAAGTACATCTTCACCCTGGCGAAGCATTTCAGCCTTCACGACACGACTCATGTCTACGCACGGTTTCCGCTGGACACGGGCCGCGGCAGCAAGGACAGAGCTTTGCTCGCCGACGCTGTCCAGTGCCTGTAAGTCCATCATCGGCTCTCTACTACTGTACCTGGATGATGCGACTGGGCATTGCCAACTTCGCCTCTCAGATCTTGTGCAACACCAAGAACCGCGCCAACTCCATGTCAACATTGCAAAACGTGAGATACAGCACCACATTGGCTCCCTCAATGTCGGTGCGCATAAATATTATACAAACAGCTCACCCGCCGACCAGTTCACGTGATTTACGGACTCGAGTTAAGGCGACGACACCGCGACTGGCTGGTCCACCTGTGGCTACGTCTGGATGCTGTGAGGCAGCCCAATCTCATGGGAGTCCAAACTCCAGAAGCTCGCGACGCTCTCAACGACCAAGCCAAAGTACGTCGCCGCATCGTGAACCTGCTCTCCATAACCAAGTTTGCTCAAGTGCCACCGCTGCTCATGCACATGGACAACCAAAGCGCGCTCCACGTCGGCAAGATCACAAGCAGCGCACTAAGCACATGGCGTTGCGTTTCTACTCCCTCCGCGATCTCGTGACCATGTTCCTCAAATACTGCCTCACACAGCGCGCCAGTGTCCATTCTCTCCACGGCCCTCGTCATCATGTGCATGGAAGGTTGTTGTGGTTACTGCCCATAGCGACTAGGTGATGCCCTGAGGTGATGCAGGGCCCATCGGCCTCGGTGGGCTTACATTTACCATTGACAGAAAGATCTGCGCAAAATATCGGTTGCGTACGATTTTGAAAATCATTAATAGAGAGATTTCGGAGCACCTTTTTTTTTGCTCCTCTTTCACTTTCACTTTCATTTTCAAAATGCTGCGTTCTGATTGGCCGCTGAAACAGGACGTTCGCGTTGGTGAGTTTCAACTTTGAGTAAATCGGCAAAAAACTCAACAAGAGTTTCAGTCTCGCGAAGCGCGTGTTTCGGGTATCCGGAGGGTTAACCGTACGCGCCATCGGAACAAGCGGCAGCTTTCCATTGCCTTCCATGGCCTTCGTTGCGCCGCCTTTGAGCCCGGCAGAAGCTGCCGATTTCATCTGCCGCCTGTACGCTGCCTGAAGAGGTGACTTGCGCTGCGTCCTTCGTATTCTGCAACACCTCCATGCCAACGTGCTGTTCCGTATCAGGCGTCCGACCGCGCGCATCGACTTCTCCAACGCAATCAACCCCGAGCTCGATGACGCGACGGCAATCGAGCGCTTCTGTTTTACCATTCATCAGCCCCAGGTATTATGCCGAACGCCTCTTGCCCGAGCCTTGTCGTCACCCAGGCGGGCTATAACGTCTTGGCCCTCGAAGCACTGACCGTCGTGTGTCGCCGGCTCTCGGAGCCCAGCATGCTCTTCTTGCCAACGTGTTCGGCCGCTCTACGCCAGCTAGGAGCCGCCTCTTTCGTCACACGATACGCCTCATTTACCGCCAGTGCTCCGATATCATAATCTCTAACAAGAACCTCATCCATTCAAGATTTGATATGTACTGCTTAGCTGTGCGCAGCAAAGGCACTAAGGTAGATGCGTGCTGGGGTTTATCGACGGTACGTCGGAGGATACCATGCCATTCACCGTACACTGGGACTTCGCTTGCGAAGAAGTGTTGCCAGATGCGTCTTCATCGGGCGCACCAGCGCGCTCGTCGACGTTGGCGAGACCTGGCGCGTCTCTCGGTTGCCGCGCCGCCCATGGTCTGACGTGGACTCGTGGCTGTTGCCTTGGTATCCGGACATATATCCGGATGATTCTCTTTCAGTTTCAAAGGGCTCTCCGAAATTCCAGTTTTTTCAAGTGCGAGTTTCACTTTGAGTTTGCCGAAACAAAAAAGTCAAAGTGAAAGAGGAGCAAAAAAAAGGTGCTCCGAAATCTCTCTATTGCCGTATCGGCTATTTCACGCGCAAAAGCAAGTTTCTATTCTTCGCCTTCCGTCAGATGTTGTACAAGATGCCGCTGCGCTGTGTGTGTTGAAAGCTCTTCGATACAAAGCCATGAACAAGCATCTACAGGAGGTTCATTGTTACAACTCTCGACGACGCCGGTGTCGTGGGAACATGTCAATCTGCACAAGCTGCTTCAATATACACAAATCGCCATCAAATTAGGACAGCGGGGCAGATGCGATCATAATGGTCTTGGTATCACGTGCTGATTCAATACAGTGCATGTCGGGCATCAAGCCACGGAGCGCCAAGATAGGCACGGCACTCGCGACGTTCCACAGCTCCAATACACCGACATCACCAGCAGATTCATGTAGTACGACTCGGCCGGGAAAGAAAAATGCGATTTTGCCAATTATCGATTGACACCGTAACCCCATTAAACTTGATGTCATTCTCCTTGGGCTGCAGCAATCGCTTCGAGGGTCGCACCCATGCCCGTAGCCTCAGTGTCGAGTAGCTCGACACCTCCGTCGGCTAGTTGGTCGTGGACCTGTGGTCGATGTAAGCATCTATCTCGTGCGAAAAGACGTATCGGAATGACTCGCTCGTAGAGTGAAATGCATTGCCCAAGATAGGTAGTACCGAAAAAGTGCCGTTGGGTAGCGACCAGCGACGTCGTTGGCGATGCGAAACGCGAGGTGCTTGCGAGTACTCAAGCTGGTACCTCTGCGCGGCTTGGGTAGGCTTGAATGGTGTCGGAGGCCGCGAGCAAGAGGTCGTTGTACAGCGTCTAGTATCCTTCGATGGACCCACCAGGCTCGTACCCCGCCATGCATAACAACGTGTTTCGCGCTATGTGTTATGTTTTTACAACGACTTCGCATACGCAGAGACTAGCCATTTCCCTCTTTATTCGCTCGCCGGGATGTGGCTCTGGCTGCGCAGGCGGCGGCGCGTTTTGCTCTCTGTAGTCGGCCAGAGGCACTTGCGGCCGCGAGCGAGGTCATGACGACAAGCTACGTAGAGTCATGCTGCCAGGTGTCGCGATCGGCAGCACAGCTGTGCAGTTTGTCAACGCCCTCGAGAGACGCAGGCGACTCGAGGTCGCATGGATGATCGGTAACGTGATTCTGGTGCGGCCTAAAAGACGGGGCGCCTCGGGTGTCGAATGAAGCGGGTAGCAGCAACGCTGGCAGCGGCGTCTTTCTTCAGGCGAGCACGTGGCCCACCAGGCGCCGTTGCTGGCGGACAATGATCTCGCTCCGTGGAATGCTGTTGCAGCGCTTCAACGCAACGTCGGCGAGCGTATTCGGATGAAAGATACTGACGACACAGCTACCTGGCGATGGAAGCTGTCAAGGCCCGCCAGGCTCGTAGGCGTCAGTGCCAACATGCCACAGTTGTTCAAAAGGACCAGGAGCATCTAGCACTTGTCCAGCCGCACACGGTTGCCTTCTGAAATGTGCCCTCGGCGCATCCAGATCTTCCACGCACGTTGTGAAGGCCGCTGGTCGTCAGCCGCTCCCGAGCGTGCAAATGGGCGGCGTCGTCGAGGAGGCTACCGAGCTTTTTGGTCGTGAACCACGCCAACGAAGCGGCGTACATCGGCGCGTCGACCTGCGTCGACCGAAATACCTGCGTATTTTCTGGTCTTGTCATCGTTCATCTGGAGGTCACATCGGGCGAAGACGGATGACGCCGCGGCCTTGATCGCGGTCATGGTAGCGTCGTCGTAACAGATGAGATCCAGAGAGTCGTCCGTGTAGGCGGAAGCACGGTTGAGGAGGTTGCCCTCCTAGCTAAGCGTCTGCACGAAAACCTTGACAGCGGCGTCAAAATATTGAATGTAATACACAGCCGGGGACAACGAGTCGTCTTGTGGCGTGCCTATGTTCGTCTCGACTTTTGCCGCTGTGACGCAGCCGAAGCGTCGTGGTCGAGAGCAGCCTCCGAACTAGAGGCACTTAGTCATCGTTGGGGAAGCCTCGGAGCACCGAGATGACCTTCGCGCCGTCGATCGTGTCGAACGCACGTGAGAAGTCGATCGGATAGAGAACTGCTCATCATACTGGCGGATCTGGGCGACAGGCCACTGGGCGACCACAAGACGTCGGCCGTACTGCGTCGAGGAACGAAGCAGCTCTGGTACTCGCCAATCTGCTTGTCGGGCTTCTCCTGAATCCGAGCGGGGACCATCACAGAGACGGCCTTCCGGATGCAGTTAACCAGCACGATCGGACAGACGCTCGAGCACAAGGCTTGGCGCTTGTTGGGCTTGGACAGGCAGGCAGGTGAGCGTCCCTTCGCCGAACTGGATCGGTTGGCCTATGGCAAAACCATCGTCCGTACCCCGTCATGACCGACGAATTATAGTGACACCGGGGATGTTTGTAGCGATATTGTTACAAGGACGGGCCATCGAGATGTGACCACAAGAAGATGCCACTCAAGCGAGCTAGCAGCTTGTCGAGGTCTTACCGGTTGCTTCGTCGAGCTCGCGGTCCCTGAGGTTGCCCTTGGCGAGGATTTCATAGCCGTGCGTCACGATGAGCAGCGCATGGACCTGCGCACGCCGTATAGCGTGCTGGGTCGACACATGCGCTTGCCCCACTTGGAGCATAACCTCAACCTAACGGCATCAAACGCAGAACGAATTCGCTCGCCTTACCCAACGAGGGAAGGATAACAAAAGCAACAACCCTCGGTTGTGGTCATTGTGGTGAAAACGCGAAAGGCCTCTCGAGCTAGTATACCACAGTTGCTTTGTTGTCTTGGTCTATCTATGGCTTTCCGCAACCCATTGCCGACACGCGCCTTTGGCATAACTCTCCGCAAAAGACACTACCGGTCTGCTGCCGCACTTTACGGCGGAACTTGGCGTCTTGCGGGATTACACTGGTTCTGTTCACTTCGTCCTCGCCATGGAGCTGCGCGGCAAGCTAGTGCACAGCCAGTACTTGGGGAGCTCGAGCGGCGCAGTCATACCGTCCTGGCCATCTCTTTGCGAAGTTTGGTGATAGGTATTCTGCCCCTAGTTCTACGCGTCGAGAAAACGCTCGTGCATCGAATGGCGCGCATTTTCATCATCGAGTAATGGACCGATATGTGCTCAGGAAGCCGATCGCGCGTAAGAGGATTGTCATGCCTAGCGTATTCAGGGTGTCAAAGCTACCGCAGTGCTTAGGTGCTGGTTGAAGACAAGAAACGTGGATTTGCCACCGCTAGCTGAGAGACTCAACGCGATAGCGCGTTTAGGGCGGGCGTCTTGTGACGCGCCTGATTGCAGCGGCGTAAGCTTAGGAAGAAAACATAGAGACGCTGGACAACACGCAGGCTCGATTAAGATTCTCCGCCTTTAGGTCTGGGAGGGTTTAAAGGTGTTCATTAGTTGCATTAACTTTGCCATATTGTCGTCAGCGGCACAGCCGCGACAGCGCAGAGCGCCATGAAAAGCTCCGCCACTGAGGCGAAGACTTGGCCACCCCGTTCTCGGAGGCCTGGTTCTAGATTGCTCCATGACTTCGCTGAAAACGCGCCACCATGCCAAAAATCGCAAAGTGCAATCCTCATGGATGTAAAATCAACAACAACGCGACCGCTAACGCGAGCTTGAGAACGGAGCTTCTTCTCTACCTTCAAGCATCTTGTATATTGAGCAATACAAATTGATGTACACATGTACCTCTTAAAGCTCCTTTTATAAATAGCATGGACAAACTCGGACTGGATACAGCAGACTCATCTTCACCGCGACAACATAGCGATTCGTCCGAGCTGTTCTACGGTACACGTACTAATACCTCATGCGGTAGTGCCGGTACCAAGGAAATAAACATTCCCTTATGTAGTACTACGTACGACCGCGTGCGTTTTTGCAGCGCAGCTTGCCGTGGTGCAGGACCACTCTTGGTGTCAAAAGAAGGCGGCGAGTGTGGGAGCATGTCGCGGCCGCTCATTTTGAATGGCTCGAAGGCCATGGTTCTCGGCTGTCGGTCGTCGCCGCAGCTGGCCTGTGGCGTCGGTATAGAAACCGAGTGTACCATGCGCAGCCTTTATCCAACCAGCTGGTGAACCACCCTATCGTATTTGAACAGCTCGTTTAGCTCACTCTCCAACTTTCCCTCGGCAACCACCATGGTTTCGTCCCTCTCCGCGCCTGCTTTCGCCTCCGCGCCAGTGGCTGTGGACGCAAAGGGCATTGTCGCTACGTCGGCCATCGCTGCAGGCACCGTCCTCTTCCAAGAAAAAGCGCTCGTTGCTTCCAGCTTTGGCAACACGGACATGGACGAAGGCCACGATTCCGACTGCGACGATGACGAGTGCGGCGGTTGCATTGAAGTCGACGACGGCGAAGACATCAAGGAAGAGCTCACCGGAGACGAGGTGGACTCGGTGTCCCCTGCCGTCGTTGCAAACTTTGACAAGTTCATGGCGTTCTGCGAGGCCCACGATGTGCTCAGCATGGTCGACATCCGCAAGAACCTCGTGAAGCTCTTCCACCACTTCACTAGCGACGCATCGACGCTCGACTTT